TACCATCTACAAAGCCGTTAGACACCTCTACCATTACTGGATCTGCCTCTACATCAACATCTTTTTTAGGAAGAAATGTACCCGAAGAGGTGGTAAGAAGAAGAAATTCAGGACCCTCGATCAACACGAGACAACAAAAATTCAGGAATGCCCGATAATTAATTTATCATCCAGAATTATTTCTGATAGCGAAAGCCAAGTCCTTAGTAAGGGACTTTCATTTTGCCCCTCACCACAGTTCAATGATTTTCAATTTGAAATTGATACTTTTAAATTAGAACGTTCCCTGAAATTAAAGCAGCACTTTGGTCATCTAACAAATGTTAAAGATCCGGATCCATTGATATCTAAATTTAAAAAGAGAAGTTCATTTATACCACCTGGACAGTTTACATCTATTGAAACTTATATCAAAACAGTCAGACATGATACACGTGTGGTCACCGATAAGAGAAGGACATATAACCATAGACATCCCTCGAATCTAAATAAGGCCGAAACAACCTCCCTTAAGTCATTACAGGAGGATGCCTCTATCATCATCAAACCTGCTGATAAAGGGGGAGCCATTATTGTCATGGACTATGCCAATTATAGAACAGGCATGAATAATTTATTATCGGACTCCACCACATATCGATCCATCCCACGAGACCCTCTCAGTTCAATTCTCAATAAACTTTCATCGTTGATCAATATGGCATTGACCCAGAGATGGATTTCAGAAAGCACCGCTGAGTGGCTATATAATCAATATGCACGGACACCAGTGATCTATGGATTACCAAAGATTCACAAGGGATATAATCCACTCACCTTTAGACCCATTGTTGTGGGGACTGGCTCGATATTACAACCACTTGCTATGCTGCTAGATTTTTTTCTGCAACCTATGGTGCAGGCTCTTCACTCATATACACGTGACACTAATGACTTTATTCTTAAGTTAAAAAGCATTGATGTAATTAGCCCAGATTGGTTGTTTCTAACCCTAGATGTCTCTGCACTTTATACAAGTATCCCCTCTGAAGGGGGCTACGAGCTGTAGAGTACTTTCTCTCTAGAAGAGAATTACCATCTCCACCAACATCCTTCATTTTGGATGGGTTGAGAATGGTACTTGACCATAATTATTTTCGTTTTGAGGAACAATATTTTCTCCAAACAAGGGGTACCGCCATGGGCAGTTCTGTTGCCCCATCTTATGCAAATGTATTTATGGGATATCTTGAAGATTGTTGTATTTACCCATCTGAGCTGTTTGAACATGTAAAACTGTGGACAAGGTATATTGACGATATCTTCGTCATTTGGTCTGGTCCAGATGACGATATGCATATCTTCATAGAATACCTTAACACACTAGCAGAAGGTATTGTCTTTAACCCAGAGGTATCTAAAACCAAAATTTCCTTCTTGGATGTATAGACCCCTTAGGGGGGAAATAGAGACAATTTATTATTGCGTAGAGAAGCCTTTTGGATTCACACTCTTAATACTGTTAGACCGAAAGGACTCAATACTTCATTGTCCCTATCCTGTTTCTTGACAGATTGACCTTACCTAACATAAACTACGTTGCTTTGTATTGAGCTTTTGTATCCATATGCACCAGCCACGTATAGATATATAATATTAACATATCAGTATTAATGATTTTTTATATAATTAAATTATTCCTTGATACTAAAAAAGACCTATAATCTCATATTAAGAAACCATTGCATACTATATCAATAAGATTTGAAATATTTATGATGCTTGTTTTGGTATATTAATTATTAATTTGATCTATTATCTTTACTTGTGGCCCAAATGTGCAATCATGACATTACGTGCTGTTCCGTTTTAAATGTCTTTTAAATGTTTGTTTTTTATGCATATCTTATCTGTTTTAGTACGTGTCTCTATATATGTGGTTAGTTTTTTCATAAAATTGGCGTCATATCTAATGCCCTATTACATATACTTTTCCAGGGATATTGCTGTGCCTATATATTGGTCTGATTGGCTACCTATTTTTCTAGTCTTGTTCGTGTCTCCTGTTTTTTCGGATTGGCTATATTGGCAGTGCACTTTGAATCGGCTGCCTTGACGAAACATTTCTGGTCCCTATGGTAACCCATAAAGCTTCCATTTGTACCGCATCACATAGCCTATGGAGCTTTGCGCATGCGCCGTACGCTTTTTGTGAGTCGTGACGGTCTCCCCCCTGCCTGTGACGTCTTTCTCCCGCGCCTGCGTTAGGTGGAAATAGATTGCGGATCATAGCATATCATACGTACCATAGCGATTGGTGCTCCGGATATCAATATTGCCTCTATGCCGACCTCTATGCAGCCACAGCACCTGGAAGTTTCGATTGTTGGTATGTATCGATTTATGTTTGTTTATAGTATTCTTTTTTTGAACTGCTTCTGAGTTTTTTCAAAGATGGCGTTTTTGCCGCCATTATGACATCATGATGTGTGTATCTCTTTGATTATTGAGTGATCACAGGGGGTATATATGTGTGGGTTGTTTGATTATTTCTTTGTCATACTTTCTGCCTTGAAGAAGGCACCCTGTGTGGCCCCGAAACGTCGGCTCCCCTATGACGTCTTTTGTCCAATAAAGGGACATATTCACTTTCAAAAAATCGAGTGCTGGTGACTTTTTACCTTTTTCCATTTAAATCTCACACTTTTTTGGTTTATAGTCCTGACATTCACATGGTATAATTTATGTTTTTGTGTTGGGAAATGTCTTAGAGCTAAACTCTGGGCAAAAAAAACATTTCAATATATGTTTCCCAATAGCACAAAGGATATAAATCTACTTTGTGATCCTCAGCAAGCCCAGGTTTTACCTTGTGTCCTCACAAAGACTTGTATTGCAGGGGGAGGGAGGGCCAAGTCAGACTAGTTCTGATTACTGCGCTGGGCAACTCTGGTGCCTATTGGACTGGCCAGTCGTAGTTAGATAGACTATACTACTACTCTAACAGGAAAGTGGAGAGATAAGACTATGAAAGCATTTGTAACAATATCTGCCTGGCCGCATATCTATTTCTATGATCTAAATTGGGCTTTAATCATTGCTGTATCTGTAATCAGTTCTACAAGTTTTTATAGAGTTTAAGAATCAATTGCATTCCAGAACTCTTTTGTAGCATCCACAAGAATGTCTTGTGATGTTGTAATAAGTTTCACCTTTTCCCTTTCCAGATGTTCTCAGAGACATTCAGTGGAGATGAGGTTTGGAGAGTGATGAGGGAAGGCCATGGAAGAACCTCTTGCTATTTCTTAGACTTCAGATACCATAGGCCTAGCATAGCTTTGAGGAATGTTTAGGGTCATTGTGCAGATGTAAAATGAATCCTGAATGACATGGCTTTTAAACCAAAGGGAATGATATCCCTCTGCAGAATAGAACGTAGAACAATACTTATTTTTGGTTCTGCATAAGAGATTATTTGAAGAATAGGCAAAACATATCCACACCTGAGTATTTTCCTTTTAATTTTTCATTTTAGGTTTCATGTACTAAGCAAGCATCCATTTCCTCACATATGCTAGTCCAAATGACACTGTAATCTTCAAATTTTGAATAATCTGTATGCCTCTTTTGTGAGTCTTCATTGTAAAGTTTCAGCATTGTTTGACAAATGGTGAGGACACTTGATTTGTTGTAAAAAAAATAATAATTTGTGAATTGCTCCATTCCCACAGAGGGCGCATTTTCCTATGATCATTTTACTGTATTTTCTGTGTTCAGGAATTATGTTGTTTTCTAATTAGTTAGCTTGTTTATAAAAGAATCTTTATACATACATTTTTTCCAGGTGTCTTTGGCATAGTGTTATGACATCACATGTCTTCTTCACCCTCTTTTTCCCCTGGTAGTGGGTGGATCCTGAACACTGCAGAGATCGGCATCATTTAATGGTGTGGGACACTTTTTAAGCATTTTCCTAAGAGCCCAGGTAGGAAGTAGAGCCATTTAACTGAAAAAGGACCAATTTTGGATTGCTTAGTCTCCGGCGGACAGTTAAGGAAAGGAGGCGAATGTGGCAGCTGCTTTTTATTTTTAACTCTTGGGAGGCTATGGGAGGCCATAATACTACTTTAGCCAACATGTTACAGCTGAGAAACATTTTTCATTATTTCCAGTGTTTTCTAGCAGCAGAAAATGCAAAAAAGCTTAAAATGGAATTCCAGCTAGAACTTCTACTTTAGTTATGCATGGAATCGGATAGAGTTAAGTCATCTGTCAGGTCTTTATTACCATAAATTTTTCCCCAATGCAGAGAATTTTACAAACTTCCTGTCACGGTGATGGTGCATATAAAGACAAAAAGTGAGGGAATGTCTCCATATCAGGAACATGTGAGTGAGTGCATATAGACAGGAAGTGGCTCAAACAGCGTGAACACAAACAACAGCTAGTCAGGTTTTACTTTCTTATACAGTTTGCTGGGTGCGGAATGCTCAGGGTTCTGTCTCTCTGGTAAAGCTAGAAAAACTTTGAATAGTGTCGATCTGGTGATGTCACGGATATCGACGTCACCGGACTCCTTCCCCCTTCCCCAAGTGGCTCTGTCGGCTAACGAGGGGAAGGGGGGAGGAGTCCGGTGACGTCGATGTCCGTGACGGCTAACGAAGGGAAGGAGGGAGGAGTCCTGTGACGTCACCGGGCTCCTCCCACCTTCGTTAGCCGACGGAGCCACTTGGGCCGGTGAGTTTGCCCAAGAAACTTTCTGCACGAGCGCCAGCCAAGGCATTGGCCTATACACATACAGCACACCATGAGGCCAACCATAACATTTAGGAACCAATACGGAGTCTCAGAATGTAGATCCAAACTCAGCCTTTATAAAAATATACCTGTATCTCTGGATCAACTGATTACTGCTTATGTGATTTTTCCTCATAGGCTCAGTTAGAGTTACCCAGGTTTGTAAGACTTACACTTAACTGCAAACTCAAAGTTTTACTTCTTCATGTACTCTTTCTGTGCAGGTGATTCGAAAGGGCTGGTTGACTATAAGCAATATCAGTCTTATGAAAGGAGGATCCAAAGACTATTGGTTTATTCTGACTGCAGAGAGCCTTTCCTGGTATAAAGACGATGAGGTAAGTGGAATCCATAGGGAATATTTTTTTTCCCCAAAATATAAAATCTGGTTTCTGCTGATTTATTTTAACTAATCTATCAATCTATAACTCCCCACCTCCCTATAGAGATTGTGTAGTTAGGCCTGAACTCCAATACTTCTCCATTAAACTTCTTCTGTGTCACTACGGTAATATTAACAGTTATGTAATTTTGGAGAATTAATATGTAAACATATTCCAAGGGTGGTGTCCTAAAATTATAGCAGACACAGATTTTATATCAGGTCTAATTAAATAGTGGCAGGATCTAATATACTGCAAGGCCCCCCTTGAACTACACAATTGTTAGGAGATGTGAGAGATCAGATCTGAAGCAAATTCTGACTGTTTCATCAGCATATTAGTTTTTTTGGTCAATAAAAAAATCTCAATAAAGATAGAACAAAAGTGACAGCAATAGTCCTTTCCCATTACACTGGGACGAAAGGTTAAAGGAGTCAGTGCTTTTCCCCATAGTTCTCCCCAGGATCACAGGAGGACACAAGCTAGCGTCCTCCCGTGACCCAAAGCTCAGTATACCGCGAGCTACAGCTACTGAGACCGCCGCAGCCGGGACGGATCGCGACATTACTGTCGAGATCCACCGAGCTGTGTGATTGACAGCTGGCTCTGCCTATCGAGAGGCAGAGCCAGCTGTACACGCCCCCAGTCAGCGCTGGAGGATCGGACAGGGAAGGGGGGGAATCCCTGCAGGGAGCCGTGAGTGACAGCCACGGCTCTCTGCAGGGACATGATCGAGAAATGAGCAAGCGACGGTATGTGTTCACTCACTTCCCGATCTATTGAGCCGACATGTGACAGTTTAATTGTCACACGTCGGCTCGAACCATGAGGTTGAGTGATTTTCACTCACCTCATAGTTTTCCTTTAAGGGTTTTTTTTTATACCGTATGTTGCACTGAAGAATGACAGACAATTGTATTATGTTGCATTTAAATACATTTGTAGTATGTTTACCAACTTTATTGGCTTGTTTTTCAGTTTTAGTCTTACTATAGTGTAGAAAAAATATGAATGTAAGAAACAGGGAAGAGCTTTTAATGACTTCCTGTGAATTTTATGGTGACATGCATAGAGCAAGAGTTGCTTTTCCTGAAAAAGGCCTAGATCAATACAGTTTAAATAGACCCTGTCACTTTGCCCATTTACAACAATGTGACAAGTACTCTTGAAAAAAATAACCCCCCATCCTCACACACACATACTGACCTTGACTGCACTTTTCTGTCATTCCATTGGTTCATCAAAGTCAGAAGTCCCACCCCTGTGTCAGCTCCATGTCAAATGGCATCAGAGTATATGCAGGGATAATGACTGCCTCAAAGTTTGACCATGGCGAGTGGCCACTCAGACCTGAGCACTGTACCTGGAAGGAGTTCACATGCTCCCTCATACCTGGAAGCACCAGACATTTGTCAACAACACCATCAGAGGAATGGAGCTGCAAGGGGGTGCGTGAAAGCGAGTTAATTGTTAATTGTGCGAGTTAAAAGTGACGGAGTCTCTTGAACCCCACTTTTTTAAAAATTTGAGTGGTTTAAATATCAGCTCCTCTGCTGTCCCATTACCTTTAGCATCCAGAATGTTCACGCAGTATGTTTTGAGGGGATTTTCACTTTAATTTGGACAGTATTGTGCTCAACTTTACATGGACTTAGTAAAGGATGTGAATTGTTACTGGCATAATAAAATGCCAAACCCTAGCAATCGAGTCTCTTATCTTACACTTCTTTATCTGCATTTAGGGATCGACATGCCATCACTGTATGTGTAATATCTGTGACCTTTGTTTTTGTGGTCCACAGGTCATATTTACTATAGATTCTGGTGGTCACAGACACCATATCACGTGGTATTATGTGAGACAGCCTTGTTTATAATGATTTTAACATTAAAGCTTTTCTACTTTTGAGTGATTTAATTATGTATATGTTAAACTTTGGCATAGTGTTCTATATAGGACTGTGGGAGCCTCATATAAAGAGGAGAATTTGAGTTTTGATTGTAGTGTGGTGCCTGGATGCTGGATGCTCCCATTGCTTTCCTTTATATAAACAGTCCAGTGGAAGAGCAAGCCATAGGTCTTGTATTCATAAAATAAATTAATGTATTTATGTTGCTTCAATACTTGACCAGTGAGTGGCTCTTCCACCACTGGACTGCCTGTTACTCCTATCTGAGTGCAGTACCTGCCCTTGGTGGGAAATATATATTTTTTTATATATATATATATATACACACACACACACACACACACACACACACACTAATAAAACAGATATTGTCTAATACTGAAACAATTTCAACATTTTAAGGGGCATTTTTCCATAAACTGTTTCCTTAAATATTTCTTTTTAAAAACAGAAGATGGCACATTAATATTAATGACAGCTGAATTTCCGGCTGGTTGTTGGTAAAAGTGAAATAAGACACAAAGGCCAATAAGACACAAAAAGTGCAGTCCATTTTTTTCTGATTTGAATTCTTTCCATAATTTGTAGAACTGTGTGTAAAATATAGTAAATTAAATTTAAAAATACCGTTTCCTCCCACCTTCTCCTCTCCTCTTTTAGTTTAACAGCGTTCCACACAATTAGGGTTGCACTCATTAGCATGATCTAAGTACCCCTTCAGCTAGAAGCTTTTGCAGTTGCAGTGGATTGTATGTCACCATGCAGACAGTGAATAATGTTGGCTTATAAAAACACCGCTTCCAAGAACTGCATTGCATAGTACTTGTCATTGATGGATAGACACAGCTATTGATGCTTGTAAGTGTGGACTATGTGTGCAACACTGATTAACAGATACTGAAATTTAGAATGTTAGGAACACAAGACCTCACTTATCATAAAAAGGTGTAAATATAAACTCTGTATTTTGCCCATAGAAGCCACCCAGATTCTTCCTTTGCTGTTTACACTACTGCAGTTGGATAATGAAGGGGCATCTAATTGGATATTAAAAGCAACACAGACTGTTCTTATTTCAGATACTTAAGATAATTGAGAAAACCAGAAATGATGCAGCTGTTACTGACGTTTGTGAGTACAAACACTGAGGGCTGATATACGTGCCATTAGGCACACAGAATGTGGCTTAGGACCACAAAAATGTGTCACTCACCCGCTCTCTGTCCAAGATGTATCGCTTGTCTTAAAAGGGGTATAGACTCCACAAAGAGAGAAATAATCTTGCTCCATTGCAAAGCATTAGTAAAACTTCATCTGAAATATGCAGTTCAGTTTTGGGCACTGGAGAGAGTGCAAGTGGAAGACCTCTGCTATAAGGAAATCTTAGCTGAACTGAATTTATTATCTCTTGAGAAGAGGTGTTTAAGGGTGCAAAGTTATTAATTGCAAAGGACAAGGGGGCACTCTTTGCATCTGGAGGAAAAGAAGTTTAACTGCCACATACAGCAAGGCTTCTTCACAGTAAGAGCTGTGAAAACGTGGAATAGACTTCTTCAGAAACTAGTTCTAGACAGCCCAGAATATGCAGTAGCTGGCCTATTAACATGTCATAACACCAGTGATTGTTGATCCAGGTAATATCTGATTGCCTTTTAATCCCTGGTGGAATACATTAGACTATGCTGTATAAGGTTTTTTTTCGTTGGATACACTGTATCAACTATGGACATAGGCTTCTATATATGGAGGTTTTCATATTGTTTATTTATTCATTTTTTTCTATTGGTTGAACTCAATAGACCTTACATGTAAGTATGTGAAACTCTATAAACACTCCAAAGACATGCTGGTAGGTTAATTGGCTCCTCTCTAAGTTGTCCCTCTGTGTATGCATGTGAGATGGGAACCTTAGATTGTAAGCTCCTTGAGGGTAGGGACTGATATGAATGTGCAACTATGTAAAGTGCTGCATAAATTGCCAGCGCTATATAAATACCTGCAGTAATAATAATAATAATTAACCAAAGAAGTGAATGGAAATTGTCTTGCACTCACCGTCTCCCACATTGGAGGTTTCCAAGATCAAATTACTCCCGGCATGCAATTCAATGGCATGCAAACTGCCACTGCTTACAGACTGGCCAGGTGCGTCTTATTATCATGTTGCCAGGGGCCAGTCAGAACCCTTACATATCCTGCACTGGCTGGGAGAGGAGAGTTAAGGCCCATCCCTTATGTGCTGGAGCCAAATAAAAGAAAAAGATGGATTTTTTCCTATTACCTTGACAGGCTGAGAAAACGATTTGATCTCACTCAGTCCACTTTCAGTCGACAGGGCAGCTAGGAGGCCATAGCAGCCCACAAAGCACCACTGACAGGCAGTGGGACTCAACCTTTAGAAAAGGCAGGTGAATTAGAACATTTATGGTGCCATTGGTCATCATCCAGTAGCAGTATCATCACCCTTTCACACATTGCAACCATAATCCCCAGGCAACAGTGCAAGTAAGAAAAATTCAATAAGGATGAATAGCAATCTTTTTTTTAGAGTTGGCAAATAGCCAAATAAACCACTGAAATACATATGTGAGAGCTGTCTTACCTGCCAAAGGACTTGTGTATCTGTCCAGCCAGTCCTGAGAGTGGCATAGCCCTGCCAGATAGAACAACCAGCCTGGTGACCTCACTTTTTTCTCCTGCAATTAAAGCCCATCTCCAGGCAGGAGAATACACCCTTTCATTCCTCCCTCTCGATCACCCTCCCATCACCCATTTAGAGGTTGTTTTTTTTAAATTAAATAACCTTCAATGCTTATGTTTTTACTCGACTAAGTCCATTGTTAATGCCTTCCCAGCTGCCAGGTGCCACAGCCAGTTAATCAAGTGCTGCAGTAGACTGGTCTCATTTCCTGATGTCATCAGCAGTCTTTCATTTTCTCTGCTGGACATCCAATAGAAAGTGTCCCAGGCAGTAATGTGGATACCTGAAGAAGGACCCTCCTCTGAGATAGAAGACTTGTGAGCTGGCTGGTTACATGACCACAA